GTGGACTTCAATGCCCAGAATTTCCCAGCCAGCCATTGAAGGTCACACATCTTCAATGTGTGAATTGAAGTTCACACATCTTAAAGTTGCCAAGGTGGAGAAACACTGACCTAGCAGAACCTTTGTTAGAAAGCTATGGGCTATGTGCCGGAAACGGTTTGAATGTTCAAAGAATGTGACTTTTCTAGCATTTGTATGTCAAACTATAATGATTGGGTGGAAAACTGGAGTTAACATTAGCAGTGAAAACACGGTAACTCAACTTGAACAGGAAAGTAGTTCCAAGGAGGGAGTTCACTTGCATTTCAGAAGTTAATGCAGGCGTGAAGGCAAACATTGCCACCCAGTGACATTTCTCCCGAACTGCCTCACCAATGAATTGCACAGCAGGCCTTCTGAAATCTGCCATCCGATTTGTGGATGTGTGAAGTATTGTACGGCAGAAGTTTTCTCCCAACGTCTCCAGGGAGAACTCCCCAAAGAGGAATGTCTTTATGAATTAGGTACACTTTTATATATTGCCTTTCGTTCAAGAGTTCAAGGTGGCATACGTATGCTCCCTCCTCCCATTATTCTCAACAACAACCCTGTAAGGTAGGTTGGGCAGAGAAGGAAGGACTGAGCCAAAACCACATAGTAGACTTCTATGGAAGAAGGTGGATTAGAATCTGGGTCTCTCTACTCCTAGACCAACATTTTCTTTATTTTATTTATTTAAAAAATTTAAAATGTCCATCTTAAAACACCACCCAACATCTTCACCACTGAACCACCCTGGCTGAAACAGGATAAGCAATAGAGGCTACAGGCCATCAGGAAATTGGCCGTCCAACTGCAGAGTAGTACTGTAACGCAGTGGTGCCCCCGGGCCCCAGGTTGCCTACCCTGGCTGGTTACCGGCGGCTGGAGCCACGTGGCGGCAACAGAGACCGGAGAAAAACGGCGGGGTGGGCGGGGCTTCCTTTGCAATCCCGGGAACGCCTCGTGGCTTTGTGGATCGCATCTGCCTGTTCAGATTTAGTTGGACGAGCCCCTGGCGGGGGGAGAAAAAGAAAAGGACGAGGTTTGTAGGTTGGCTTTCAAAGCTGCTTCCCTCTTTTCGCAGAAAAAAAAGTTTAGGAGATTTTTCCTTATCTCCGGCTTGCTCTTTTTTCAAGCAGGCTTCCTCCCTGTCCGTGGCATAATAGTCTTTGGCTGGTGAACCCGATCGGTGAATTAACGCATTTTCTGGACTTGCACAATATACCGTTTTAAAATCTTGTTTCATTATCATCAAACGGACGAATGCAAAGGTGTAGATATATAACAATATTAAGAATAGACTTTAACCTCAACGTGAACAATCCTGCTAATCACAGAACAAAGGGGAGAGGTGCGGGAAAGGTTCTTGTAAACAGAACCAAAAATGTGACTTGTTGAAAAGCACCTTCTTTGTTTCTTTGCCCAAAAAGAAACAAAGGAAACAAATGTAGGCCCACAGCTATCACAAAAACCCATTGCTACAAATCGGGTGTGTGATTTTCTCTTTCTGATCTTGAATAATTCCTTTAACCAGCCCTGAGGCTCCCAGAGTCAATTTCCAATAATAGGGATATGGCGCATTCAAATGTGTGCATCCCTAACACAAAGCAGATTCAGTAGATTTCACAATACATTCAACCAGTCTTAAATTAACCCTAATTTAATGGTCTTTCCCCTCTCTCCCACTTGCTCTGATAACATCCTTGAGGCAATCAGGCTGAAAGCAAAACCTGGTTTGTGCATCCTGCTAAACCATAGTTTATTTAGCCATGTACTGAATAAACCACCATTGGCTGGCTCTGCACAGCAAGCTAACCAAAACCCCCAGCCAGTCTTCTCTTTCCGCCCCAACCCTCCAGGTTCAGCTGGCTTGCCCGTTCCAACATGATAAATTTTGTTTAGGGGGTGAAGCAGGTTTCAAGCCTTGTGTTTGGTCCAGGACTTCTCATGGATTTTGAATGTGGCGTTCGAGAAAGGTGGTTCCCGTATTGATTCTGAAAAGGGTTTGAAAGGTTTTGGAAAGGGTGGTTTCCTGGTGCGGCTTCTGCTCCCATCTCCTGAGCGAGCAGCTTTGTGACTCGCATGCGTGGAAGAGAGGACGCATTTGCTCCAAGGGACGGGACGGTGCCAGGAGAAGCAAGAGACAATCAGTGGGGCTTTCCCACCGCCCCCACGAGAGCCGGGGCGAAGGTGTTTTCCAGCAGCGTGGGGTCTTTTCTTTCAATAAAGGTTATTAAAGATGTTACCAGGAGCATAAAAACGAACACAAACGAATAAAGAGTCAAACGGGCCGAGAAAGAAAAGAAGAAGGAAGAAGGAAGGAAAAGTGTCCAAAGAGAGAACAAAAAGAATAAGAAACAAGGCGGATGTGATCTTGATGCTGACCTCTAGGTGGCCACCATTCACGGGCACCAGGTTATGCCCGGGTGGCACATAGGAAGCTGTGAAGTGAAAGTAAGAAGCAAAGTGGGCAGAAAGAAAGTGGACTCGCTTCCGAATGTCTTCTCTGGAGGTCGGCATCGTGCTGCTGATGGTCATAGCGCCGTTCCAGCCAGTTCAAGGTACGATGTCTCCCCTCCCCTCCCTCTGGGTGGCTTGATTTCCCATTCCCAGTTACCCACGGTTTTCAGAAAATGCCACCAAGTCAAGAAGGAGTTTGCCTTTTCAAAGCCTCCCTGGATTCAGGGTGTAGCGATTTGCACTTGATGTGGGGAACAGGAAGGTGGGGGAGATTTCTCAGGCAAAGCCCACCGAGCGTCCATCTCCCCCGTTCAGAGTGGAAACGGGTGGTTTGGAATGGAAAGGAGGGAAATTTGGCTAAATATGGGAGAGGCGCAGGTGCTTCTGTGTGGGGCAGTGAGGAGTGGGGGGATTACAGTCCACCAGAGTAGGATCAAGGTCTTCGTGGGCCCTGAACCCTCTCATGATCTTTAACTGCTAAGATTGATTGATGGGTAAATATTTCATTGTATACAACAGTGTTTCTCAACCTTGGCAACTTTAAGATGTGTGGACTTCAACTCCCAGAATTCCCTGGCCAGCATAG